AATTTACCAAGAGCGTATTGGAAATGTTACCTTTTCCACATCAGATTCTAGTATAGTTAACTATAGTGCAAGTGTGTATAATATTTATAACTGGGTTAGTCTTATTGTAAAGTGCTAACTACCTCTTAATGCTTGTGAGAATCTTAATTTCGTTTCACATACAAGTCTTTTCAAATTGGATATTGCTATAGTTGTTAAATATATTGACGAGTTGGCAGATATCATATAAAATAGAGTAAAAAATATTTTGCCAGAAAAAATCAGGATCATGTTTGACGGATAGACAAACAACGGCATTTATTTTGTTGGGTTATTTGGTATTTACCGAACAACTAATAAATCTAGAAATCTAGTTTTATTGGCATTTTCGCTATTTGAAGATCGTACTACACAGGATGCAAATACGCATATTGAGTTCTTTAAAGATATTTTAGACTCATATGATAAGGGTGTTAATAATATTCTTTTTCTCTCAGGAGATAACTGCAGTACAAATAAAAAAATAGCCAATGATTTGAATATTCCACTTGTAAGATGTGCATTGCATCATCTAAATTTGGCAGTCAATGATCTTATTAATACCTCGTCAACTCTTGTATATCAAATTCATACAATTATATTAATGATGCGAACTTATAAAAATCATGGAAGACTTGCAAAGGTAACATTCTTGAAACTAATATTGGACAATACAACTCGTTAGATGAGCATCATGAAAATGATCGAACGATATAAAGTTCTTATTCTTTATATTACTCAAGTAAACAGATTTTCAGGTCATGATATTTTATTGGTAGAGCAGTTGGATCTTGGTAAAGTTAATAATTTTATTGAACAACTCAAATACTTTTCTGAAGCAACAAATGATTTGCAAAACGAATCTATGAAATTAGATGATGTTCGTGCTTATTTCGATTTGTTGATAGAGGAATCTCCAGGTTTAGAAAACTGATTAGGAAAAGATGCATCAATAATCCATGATCCCATTTTTGAAGAAGCTGTAATCAAAGTTTTAAGTAAGCAAGAAGCTATACTAATACCAGATGAAAAACAAAAACTTCAACCATTTATCATTGAACCAAATGTAAAACAAATTGTAGTAGAAGGTGGTTTAACTATGAAAGAACGGGTTGCAAAAAAACGCAAGCTAGAAGAATCGAAGTATATGGATATGAATATAATACCTCCTACTTCTAATTCAGTAGAATGTTTGTTTTCACTTGTTAAATATTATTATACAGACTGGCGAAAGTCACTTGATCCATTTACTTTAGAAAATCTTTTAATATTAAGGTTAAATAACAAACTGTGGTCGATTCAGGATATTCACCAGATTCGACAATAGGTTTGTACGTATATATACAATTATAGTATATACTGTATATAGTTAGGTTGATCACAATAGTCATATGCAGGGAGGGTATGTAACAAATACACGACAAAAAAGAATATATATACGTATTAATTTATACATAATAAAGTAAAATTTCAATTAATTTCAATTAATTGCAATTATTCTGTCATTAATTGGACTCAATTATTTTTTATAATAATTTTAATTGATTGTAATTTTTTACGCATATAATAAAATTTAATTGCAATCAATTATTCAGTAGGCTTGCTTCTAATTCAGTGGAACGTTTGTTTTCACTTGTTAAATATTATTATACAGACTGGTGAAAGTCACTTGATCCATTTACTTTAGAAAATCTTTTAATATTAAGGTTAAATGACAAACCGTGATCGATTCAGGATATTCACCAGATTTGACAATAGGTTTGTACGTATACGTACAATTATGGTATATACTGTATATAGTTAGGTTGATCACAATAGTCACATGCAGGAAGAGGCATGTAACAAATATACGACAAAAAAGAATATATATACGTATTAATTTATACATAATAAAATAAAATTTCAATTAATTGCAATTATTCTGTCATTAATTGAACTCAATTATTTTTTATGATAATTTTAATTGATTGTAATTTTTTACACATATAATAAAATTTAATTGCAATCAATTATTCGGTAGGCCTGGTTAGTGGTGTCCAAAAATTATACAGTCAGACCTCTCTAAATGCAATGCGACAGGACCATATATAAAAATTTAGTCAAACATGCACTTAGAGAGGTATTTCATTTAGAGAGGTAAAAATCTATAGATGTAATATTAGTTGGGACCAAGAGAAGACATGCATTTAGGGAGGTGTTTCATAGGACGTGCACTTAGGGAGGTAGCATTTAGGGGGGTCTGACTGTATTTCATGTAATCTGGCCTCCGGACCCAATTAATTATGCCCGAAAATTACCAAATTTTAGTGAATTTTATTAATAAACCCGCTAACCGGTAAGCTAAGTAAAGTTGCTCAGATCGTAATTTTGCATAATATTAGCTAGCTTGCATTATACTTGTATTAACACTTCATAGAACCAGCCGATCAAGGTCTGGAAGCTCAGATTACATAAAATGGTAAATTTTTTGACCTACTAGATCCAAACTACCCCAAGAACACCTCCAAAAATCAGCCAATCAGATTTCGAGATCAGGTGTAACGTGAAATCAAAACAATCAAAACAATTGGAATAACAAAAAATTTAAAGTAATAAAACCTCAACACTAGAGTTAGCTTTAGAGCGAGGTTAGGGCATAGCATATACCAAAATTTGGCGAGGAATTTTTTTTGTTAGAACACAAAAGGCAGTTTCATAGGCAAGATTTTGAGCTACAAACGATTATTCAAAAAGTGCATAATTTCACGTTACACCTGATCTTGAAAGCTGATTGGTGCGCAGAATTTTTGGAGGTGTTCTTGGGGTAGTTCTAGATCCAGGACGATAACGTGATGTGACACATGAGAAATGGCCAATCGGGATGCGTAAATTTTGATTGTCCCGGATCAGCCCAAAAACTAGTAATTTTTACGTATAGGAATGATCTTTCAAGGCGGCAGAGTCCATCCCGATTGGCCATTTCTCATGCGCCACATCACGTTACTGCAAAAGTGTCTAGACTTCTATGGGACTACGTAGTAAAAGAACATTTCGGTCGAGTTATTCACGTTACACCTGATCTCGAAATCTGATTGGCTAGCGAAATTTTTTAGACTGGTATTTTAAATACTGTTCTAGACTCCAATCAGACGAATAGGTGACCGTTAAGATTTGTGCTTCTATATAATGTCGTACTGCCATAGCGAAATATATCTGCTACGTACTATCTTTTCCCTAAGAAAGGTAGTTATAAAAGTTTTGCCCTGCTGACTATAAATCGTTCCGACTATTAATATATTTTGATATATATATCGAAGAAGAAAAAGATGAGTAATATTGTAAGGGCACCTGAGGGCACTATTGTAATTTTTGTGCTTGGTAAATAATAGTTCATTTATTGTATCAAATTATTATAAAAATTACTTTAATATATTTATTTGTTGTATTTATATTTTGGCATGTAGGTGGACCTGGCTCCGGTAAAGGCACGCAATGCAGTAAAATAGTCAAAGACTTTGGATTTGTTCATTTGTCCGGTGTGTTTTTGTTTATTAGGCATCATTAGGAATCATTAATCGTGGTAGTAATATTAATATTTATATTTAAAAAAAGCTGGAGATTTGCTTCGAGAAGAGCAACAAAATCCGAATTCCAAAGATGGCGATTTGATAAAAACATATATTAAAGAAGGCAAAATCGTGCCCATGGAAATTACCGTTAAATTGCTTTCGAAGAAAATTCAAGAAAGCAAGTCGAATATATTCTTGATAGATGGTTTTCCGCGAAAACAGGACCAGGCTTTATATTTTAGCGAAAATGTAAATAACTTCAATCATACCCGTATCACGTGACCGTGGCCACCATTATAGGCCTGCATTAGAAGGGCAGTACATATGGACACATTTCTAAATCTGTGTTGTCAATTTTTTGCTTTCAGTGGGACATTAAAGTCTTCCGGTGAAATTTTTTAGAAAGAGTTCCAGTAATACTACCAAATCTGGCTTCTAGTGGTTTTCTAGCGTCGGTCACATGAGCACTGTCCGTAGGAATTCGGTCATGTGATGCCTGTTATGGGTGAAGATATATTAATTTTTTTCTTTCAATTCATCAATTTAAGGTAGT